ACACGTTGTGATCACCCAGAGCCCACAGTTTACCTTACGGCTCCTCTGACCTGAGCTGAAGGCAGATGAGATGCTTAACCACCTGAGCCACCCAGGCACCCCAGGAATCCTCTTGACTCTTATTTCTGCCTCCTCCGCCTGCAGATTTCACCCATGCTTTAAGGTCCAGTTACTAAAACGTTGCTTTCCGAGGGAACTAACTCCTAGACCAAATCCTGAACCATATGACAGCTTCCTGAAGTCCTTCTTATCTCCCATCCCTCACTCCTTCAACCCATCTCTCTCTATCCTGGACTATCTTGACCTAACACTACTCTGTGTACATCAGAACCACCTTCCCTGTCAACCAGTGCTGTGCTGCGGAGTTGTTAACAACCAGCTCTGGACAGAGGGACCCCTGGGTCAGCACACAGCACCTGCCAGTTTCCGTGGTTGGAAATACTTGCATCATGGCCAATTTCAAGCTACCAGCAAGACAGTATTGAACATGTAGTTAGGAAGAGATATTAGTTAGGAAGAGATATGCACGGGGCGCCTAGGTGGCTCAGTCGGTTCAGCATCTGTCTTCGGGGTCCTGGGATCGAACCCCAAGTTGGGCTCTCTGCTCAGCAGGGTGCTGCTTCTCCCTCTCCCTCTGCCTGCTGCCCTGCCTGCTTGTGCACGCGCTCTCTCTCTCTGTAAAATAAATACATAAAATCTTTTTTTAAAAAGGGAGAGATGCGTACAATTGGTTCTTAAACCTATACAAGCAGCCTCCCCCACACCACGGGCTCCCATTCAAGACTTCCCCGGTGTTCCTTAATGTGTTCCTCATACGACTATTGTGACCCTCCTGTAGATTTAAAATTACTTGGAAATAGAATGTTTAGAAAGTCTCCCAGAGTAGATATAAACTCATCTGGCAAACTTCCTTCTCAGCAGAACATGGATGCCCTCCAAATGATGACCCTCTGAGAAAGAAATGAGGAAACAATGAGCTGAATCGCAGGACAGCCTCCAAAGCCATGGAAAGTCTATAGCAGGGTCTCTGGAGAGTTCTGCCCAAATGTCTGAATTTTAATCTTGGGGAGTGGGTGTAATCTCAGAAGGTGGGAAAGAAATGTGACTTGCCGTTAAGGTACGATCTGATCAATTGTATTCAAATCAGTTCTTAAGAAAGAAACTTTTTTTTTTTTAAGATTTTATTTGACAGAGAGACACACAGCGAGGGAGGGAACACAAGAAGGGGGAGTGGAGGAGGGAGACGCAGACTCCCCTCTGAGCAAGAAGCCCGAGGTGGGACTCGATCCCATGACCCTGGTCATGACCCGAGCTGAACGCAGTCGCTCAACCGACTGAGCCATCCAGGTAGCCCTGCCAGGTACAATAGGAGCTGCGAACACAGTAATGAACAGAACAGACAGTTTCCCAGCCTTATTATAAGGCTCTATTCTAATGGGAACGGCCAGACGTTAGCAAAGCCATCACACAAATAAATGGATGTGAACAGTGTGTGGCAGAGGCTGTCATGTTTGCTACGAGAACACAGAATGTGAGAAGCTGACCAAGTCTTGTAGGTCAGGAAAGGTTTCCCTCGAGAAGGGACTCGGACTGGCTGCAGAAAATGTGAGGGCTCACGGAGCAGAGGACTGCGCCCTGGATGGTGGGGACTCTACACATGGAATGCAAGGAAGGTTCTTCCGGGTACGAATCGTCTCATCTCTCTACAATACGGTACGGTATTTTGCCTTTTTCTTTCTCTGAATGTGTAGAACTCAGTCTTCTATTAAGATGATTTGTGTCTTTTTTAGTTTGAATGGAAATTCTTTTTTTTTTTTAATTTGACAGATAAAGATCACAAGTAGGCAGAGAGGCAGGCAGAGACAGAGAGCGGAGGAAGCAGGCTCCCTGCTGAGCAGAAAGCCTGATGCGGGGCTTGATCCCAGGTCCTGGGATCATGACCTGAGCCAAAGGCAGAGGCTTTAACCCACTGAGCCACCCAGGCACCCCTTGAATGGAAATTATTAAGGGTTGTCGTCACCCAGCATCCACGCAATATCGTGGAACTTGTGCCTTGGGTCAGCTAGGACGCTTCGCCAATGCCTCCCAGAAACGAACCGATGAAGACGGTGTCATTAAGCACACGAGATGTTGCTGTACGACCGTGACGGCACTTTAAGTAACAGCTTTATTGAGATATAATTAACAACCCATACAATTCCACTATTTAAGGCATATAATTTAGTATTTTAACATCTGAAGAATGCAGCCATCGCTGCAGTCGACATTGGAACATTTTCATCACCCTAAAAGTCACCCTCTGCCCCTTTCCCCACAGCCATCAGCAGGCACCCGGTCTCTCCATTTCCCTCCAACCTCTCAACACTAGGCAACTGCTGATCTATGTTGTCTCCACGGATTTGCCTATCCTGGACTTTTCATGTAAATGGAATTATATACTATGTGGTCTTTTGTGACTGACTTTCACTGAGCATAATGTTTTGAAGTTTATCCTTTCTGTTGCTGAATAATATTTCATCGTGCAGATGCACCCTATTTTATTTATCCTTTCCTCAGCTGGTGGACATTCGGGTAGCTTCTGCTCTTGGGCTACTATGTATAAAGCTGCTTTGAAGATTCCTGAAGGAGTTTTTTAAATTGAGGGGAAAAACCACATAATGTAAAACCTTTTACACCAACAATTCAGTGCCATTTAGTGCATTCACGACGTTCTGCAGCCATCTTTATTGAATTCCCAAACATCTCATCACTCTAAAGTAAAACCCCATGTCCGTTAACCCCACTGGCCATTCCCCTCACCCATCCCAGCACCCGGCAGCTCCCATCTACTGCCTGCTTCGACGGATTCACCGATTCTGGACATTTCGTGCCCTTCAGATCGTGGGCTATGACCTTTAGTGTCTGCTGTCTTTCCCTGAGCGAGCTGTTTCTGAAGGTCACTCCGCGGAAGGGAAGACGACGTCCCTTTTTCGTGGTTGAATAATATTCCGCGGCGAGCACAGACCGCGCCGGGTGCCCCCGCGGACGGGTGTTCGGCGGCCGCGCACAGCGCCGCGGCCCGTGCTCGCCTGCGGAGGTCGGAGCCCTCGTCTGTGACGCGGGGCACGTGCCCAGGACGGGAACTGCTGGGTCGCGGGGACAATAGCGTCTGGGGGAAGAGCGGGCCTGGGTTTCCGCGATGCGCCCAGGCAGCTGGGGGTCTCGTGTTCAAGCGAAGGGGAGGTGCTGCGGACCGTGGCGAGGAGGGACCAGGGAGTGACGACAGCTCCGTAGCCCGCCCTTCACTCAAGCGGGTGTCGCAGAGACACCGACCGGGTCGCGGGCTAGCTCGCAGCCCGGGGTCGGGCTGGCGGCTCGGCTTCTCCACCGCGCCGCCGGAAGCCGGGAACCGGGCGGGGGAGACTACAAAGTGCGGGGCCAGGGGGCAGCTTCCTTCCCCACGAGGAGGGCCGGGGGGGGGGGGAATACAGTCCGAGGGACAGGCTGCCTCCCGCTTCATGGTCCTCCGCCGCGACTCCGGGGAGGGCAGTGGAACGGAACGCGCCGCCTTCGGTTTTCTAAGGGCGCTCGCAGACGACGGTTTCGGAGACGGCAGGGAGCACCTGGGGCAGAGGAGGGGAGAAAGGCCCTCGGAGCCTCCCCGGGGCACAGGCGCACGCCGCCCCTCCGGCCGCCCCAGGCAGCCAGCCGTACCCCGCGCTCCCACAAGATGGTGGCCGCCACGCGGCTGTTCTAGCCCGCGGCTGGAACTCTATGGCCGAGCCGAAGCCGGCCGCGCAGGGCGGTGAAGCTGAGCTGGGCGGTAACCCGACCACACCAGCGCGCTAGGAAGTGTGTGCGGAAAGAGCCCTCCCGCGCATGTGCGGGAAGGGGGGATGGGCTTCGAGACGAGGAGCCCACCCCGCAGTGCAAGTTTTCTGAAACGTGTGAGTCGTTTAAGTCCAGTGAAAGCCGAGGTGGGGCGTTCCCCAGACGCATGCGTCCTCGCCGAGACCGGCGATATAGCGGCGTGGTCTTTTCAACGCCCGGCGTACAGACGACGTCTGAGGTGGAAGGGGCGGTCAGGAATCCCAATACGCATGCGCTTTGAGGCCGAGGCGTTCCCTTCAGAGGGAGTGGAGTGCAGGGCTCCTCTTTGCGCAGGCGCAGGTCCTGTCCGGTAGGGCTAGTGGTCTGTCACGGGAAGGGAAGAGGAGGTTGAAGGGCTTGAAAAACCGGGTGCGCCTGCGCACTGCCTACTTGTGGGAAGAGTTCGGGATTTGTAAGGGGCGGGGTCACGCAAACGCGTCATTGGACGGGTAGGTGGGAGGGAGGGTGGAGCTCGGGGAGGGTCTTTGCGCTTGCGCAGTGCGGGGGTGGAGGGCGGAGGGGATAGATAGCACGCTTGCGCGGCTGTCACAGGGCTGCTTGGTTGGTCAGTGGGGAGTCGGCGCCTGCGTACTAAGACCCGTGTGCAGCAGCGGCGGCGGCGGTAGAGGCGGCGGCGGCGGCGGCGGCAGCGGGCTCGGAGGCAGCGGTTGGGCTCGCGGCGAGCGGACGGGGTCGAGTCAGTGCGTTCGCGCGAGGTGAGAGCGGGCAGGCCGCGCGTGCGCGGAACCCTGGTTTGGGCCTGGGAGTGGAGATGGAACTGCGCGAGGGTCGGGGAGGGGGCAGAGGGGAGCGGCGGCGGCCGCCGCGGCACAGGGTTCGGCCTGCGAGCCGGGCGAGGTGTGGAGAGGCGCGGGCGCGCGCCCCGGTTGGCGCGCGGGGTGACGGTTGGGGCCGGCTGGGTGACGTTGGAGCGACGCAGGGCGGGGGACGGCGAGCCGCGAGGCCGCCACGCGGGAGAGGCCGCCGGGCGGCCACGCCGGGGCGAGGGCCGGGGGCCAGATCGGCCCGCCGGGGCAAGGGGACCTGGGCCGTTGAGAACCGGGCGCCGCGCGGCCACGTGAGGTGGGGGAGGGGGCTATTCGGTGAGAGGGCATGTGGGGGGGGGGGTTGGCGGCCGGCCGGGGGGGAGGGGAGGCGGCGTGGCTCCGGCCTGGCGCGGCCTTTAAGGAGGGGGTGCCGGCGGCATCGGAAGTGTCCCCTACCGGAGGCTGCCCTCGGGGTCGGAGGCCGCATGGCCGAATGTGGACGGGGGCCGCATGGCAGCGCGGGGACCCCTCCCCCCCCAGATCCCGGCCACCGGAAGCCCCGGGAGGCCACATGGTGGGCGGGAGCCGGCAACCCCCCGGCGCGGGGAGAGGCAGTCCTCGCGAGCGCCCAAGGGAGCTTGGAATTTTGGGGAGGGGGAAGCCCGAGGCCCGGATCCTGATCACCCCGGAGAGCCCGCTGCGGGCATATGTTAGCGTTCCCCTGCCCTATGGGCCCCCGGAGCTCTCCCCCCAACTCCGCTGTGAAGTGAGGCGGCCCGCAGGTGTAAGTAGCGCGCTCCCTTGCCGGGCGGCCGGAAAACCGGAGAGACCCCGGCGATTGGACGGCAGCCCAACTCCTGCGGGCCGAGCCGACAGCGCCGTCCAGTCCCGGGCGCAGAGCTCCACGCCGCGCCCGGTGCGCTTCACCTTGTCATTGCCCGCGCCGCTGCGTTGGGCCGGGGAGCGCCGGCGCCGCCCGCCCGGCAGAACTTCCACTACTTACTAGCACCAGCGTTTTGCTTTCATTTTATTGTCATTCACCCCTCCCCACTCCTCCGCTCCGCAAGGAGCCCGCAGGCCCGGCCCGAAAGCCGACAGTGCTGGTGCATCCTGGGAAAAGTGGGAGGGCCCTCGCGGAGAGGCCGGGTTCCTGGGTTCCCTTTGGGAAACGAGATGGAGGTGTTTGGCCAGGGGAGAAGTTCGAAAACAACTCTGCTTTCCCCTCCTCGGCTGTGTGTGCAAATGCGTGCTGGAGAGGCGGGAATCCCCCAAAGAGGCCTTGTGGTTTCCTGTGCCAGTGACTGGCCTGTGTGGGGATAGGGTGGGGGGTGTAACAGAGCCGGGTGGGGCCCTGTCCTCCGGTCTCCACCCTCCCCTCTCCCCGCCCCCCACGATAGCCCCGCCCTTCTGCTGGCTCATGGCTGCTCACCTAATTATAGCCCTGGTTGTGTGTGGGGAAGAGGGGTGGTTGGTTTCAGTAGCAAGTAACACCTGAGTGTTCCCCTCCCCGGAGTCAGCCTTGGCCCATCTCCGGCATTGCACATCCTGACTCCCTGCGGCCTGCCTTTCCCCACCCACCCCTTTACGTTCATTTGGGCTGCGGGTCGAGCCTCCGTCCCCCACCATTCCCAGACACGCAGCAGGTCTTAGGTACTTGTGGTTTCAGTCAGTATTTAATCTGGGCCTGGTGACTCTCCTTTAGGTGGTGGTGGATGGAAAGGGCTTGGGATGGCGGTGAAGCTCTGTTGGCCTCCACCCTGACTGACTCGGGTTCTCTTTCTGACTCTAGTTGGAATCGAAGCCTCTTAAAATGGCAGATGATTTGGACTTCGAGACAGGAGATGCGGGGGCCTCAGCCACCTTTCCGATGCAGTGCTCAGCATTACGTAAGAACGGCTTCGTGGTGCTCAAAGGCCGGCCATGTAAGATCGTGGAGATGTCTACCTCCAAGACGGGCAAGCATGGCCATGCCAAGGTTAGAACTTGACCTCTCCGCATCTTGCCTTCCCCACACTTGCCCGTATCCGTGGGGCTCCCAGCAGCAAGCCGTCCTCGGTCCCAGCCCTCTCCGTTCCTTCAGCACTGGCTTACCGTCCTGTTCCTTGCGCTCAGCACTCAGCCCTGGATACTTTCCACCTGTACCTTTCTGAGGGCTTCGGCTCTTCCTTGGTGAGCCTTCTCTTTCTGCACTCTTCTGGGAGTCTCTGGCTTCTGGGTGCTCTGTTCAGGTGCTCACGCCTTCCTCCTAGATTTCACTTTTTGCCTCTTTTCCCCTGAGTCTTTGTTCCCAGGGTTTCTCCAGGCCTAATGCTGGAAGCAGCCTTTCCTGGAGAGCACCAGGATACCTCCGAACCTCCAAGTCATCTTGCTGTCCCACAGTCCACACCAGCTTTCCCTTTGGATCTCTGATGCCGTGTCTGCCAAGTCTCTGCCTGCCCCCTCCCCTTGAGTCCCCTGAGCCGCCCCCTCGCGTTCTTGGATCCTGACATTCTGGCTAGTGCTTCCGTGTCAGTTAAGACTTTTCTACTCTGGGAAACTTTTTTTTTTTTTTTTTTTTTTAATTTATTTATTTGACAGACAGAGATCACAAGTAGGTAGAGAAGCAGGCTCCCCACTAAGCAGAGAGCCCGATGCAGGGATCGATCCCAGGACCCTGAAATCATGACTGGAGCCGAAGGCAGAGGCTCAGCCCACTGCGCCCTTCCCTGGAAAACTTGACTTGGTCCATCCTTGGGTTTCTTAGGATTTTGTTCCCTAGTTGGTCTGTCTTGCCTTGGCCTGGCGTTCATCCTGGGTTTCCTCGTTCATGTCTACATCCTTATCTGAGTTCTTTCCTGGTTTTCTTATTCCCTGGGGCACAGTTTGTTCTCCCTGAATTCGTCCTCCTCTCTGCTCTCTCTCATTCCTTTTTGTCGTCCCCAGTTCTGCGCCTTTTATCCCGGTGTCCGGATGCTCTTTCAAAGGTCTTACCTAGTGTCCCATGCCCAGGGCTCCTCGGTCAGTGTTCCTGTAGCTCAGGGTAATTGGTGGCCCCAAGTGTGCCCTACGGTTTCCCTTGCCAGTCACCCCCAACCTGAATGGGGTCTGTCTGCCTCTTGTTCTTGCTGGATGCCTTATTTCTTGAGTCGATTTGCTTGGTTCCGCCTCCCCCGATCTTGCCCCGACAGCCTAGTCTGACTTCCCACCTGTCAGGGCATCGCGCCTTCCTCTTTCCGCCCTGGACCCGGCTGGGTTTCTCTTTCATGTGATGCGTACATGCAGGTCCACCTGGTCGGTATTGACATCTTTACTGGCAAGAAATACGAAGATATCTGCCCGTCCACTCATAATATGGATGTCCCCAACATCAAAAGGAATGACTTCCAGGTACACGGGTGGTTTCGGGGAGGGGTAACATTGACTAGAGGAGCTCCGTGCTGTGGCCGGGGAGGGGGGGCGCAGGACAGCCGGGAGTTTACAGCAGTTTGCAGCCCTTGTTTGTACTCAGATCCTTTATCCTCTGCCTGTTGCTTACTCCCCTCTCTGCCCCCAGCTGATCGGCATCCAGGACGGGTATCTATCACTGCTCCAGGACAGCGGGGAGGTGCGAGAGGACCTTCGCCTGCCCGAGGGAGACCTCGGCAAGGAGATTGAGCAGAAGTACGACTGTGGAGAAGAGATCCTGGTACGGTGCCCCCCGCCGTCTGCCCCGTTGCATTTTGCCTCTTCTTCTGAGCTCCCTTCTGACTCTCCCCTTTGCACCCGCAGATCACGGTGCTGTCTGCCATGACAGAGGAGGCAGCTGTTGCAATCAAGGCCATGGCAAAATAACCGGCTCCCAGGTGAATGTGACGCACTCCCCCCAGCCCACGTCTTGTCCCCACCGAAAACCTGCTCTCTTGTCCCTCATCGTTCCGGACTTCTTTCCCAGCCTCCTGCGAGATCCTCACCCTTCCTGGGGGTAGTATCTCCTGCCTCACCTGGTCTCTCTCTTCCCCAGGGTGGCGGTGGTGGCAGCAGTGATCCTCAAGCCTGCAGAGGCCCCCTCCCCCAGCCTGGCCCAGCTCTGGCCTGGCCCTTGGCTGGACTCTTCCTCCTACACAATTTATTTGACGTTTTATTTTGGTTTCCCCCACACCCCTCTCAATCTGTCGGGGAGCCCCTGCCCTTCATCCTGCTCCCTCGGCCAGGAGTGAGTGATCCTTGGCCTTGGTGAAGCTGCCCTCCTCTTCTCCCCTCGCACTACAGCCCTGGTCAGGGAGAGGGGGTGGGTGCTGCTTGTGGTTTAGTGGGATTTTTGTTTTGCTTTTGTTTTTTTCTTTTTTTTTTAATTCAATCTGGAATCAGAAAGCTGTGGATTCTGGCAAAAATGATCCTTGTGCCCTCCCCCCACTCAGCCCTGCTCTGGTCCCTTGTTTCCCCATGGCCCTTTACCCCAAGCACCACCCCACAGATGGGGGACCAGCCCCCTCCCCTGCCTATGTCTCTCCCCAAATCCCGTTAGCTGGGGAGGGAAGAAGAGGAAAGGGGAGGGGACCTGCCCCCTCCTCAGGCATCTGGGAGGGCCCTGCCCCCATGGGCTTCACCCTTTCCTGTGGGCTCTCTCCCCGACACATTTGTTAAAATCAAACCTGAATAAAACTACAAGTTTAATATGAAGGCCCCAACTCGGTTGCTTCTTTGAATTAAATGGGTGTTTATTGATCAGAACATAAAAGTTAGAAACCACAGGCACTGGACACTGAACTTGGCAGCTGAGCTCATTACCCGCCCACTGTCCTCCTGTGACCTGCCCGCCACCCCTCCCCCTCCATACAGCCCTGGCCTGGGCAGGGAGGCAACACAAACGGCAGCCGGGGGTGGTGAGGTGGATTTTATTGGGCTGGGACACACCAGCGACCCTCACCCATAGCGGGGGCTGGGGGTCAGCGAGAAGACAGTCTGAAGATCACTTGTGGTAGAATCGCGGGTTCTGGCTGTGCTGGATGAAGGGGAGCCGAGGGCCAGGCTGGCTGGTAGCTGCAAAGCCCGACTGGTGGTGGGGGAAGGGGGGCTCTGTCGGTGTGTGCCCCCCCTCCCCAGGGAGAGGGAAAAGGGGGGATGGGGGCCACCTCTCCTACCCAGTCCTTTCCCCAGAAGCGAGTGGGATTCCCGTCCTTACCTTCCCTGCCGGTTGCATCTGCACAGGGAGCTGGGGAGAGGCAAGGAGTCCCGGGGCTGGATGCAGAGCTTGGGGATGCATGGGGCGCAGGGAGGACTGTAGAGAAGAGAGTTAGGACCTAAGGCAGCCCGGGGCGCCCCTTGGCAGAGAGCTGCCCCTGACCTCCCAAGACCCCATACTCACAGAGTCTGAGAAACCGGTCTGCTGGTTGGCGTGTTCCATCTGCTTCTGTAAGGACAGGGCACCGCCAGGCTGGAGGAAGCCTAGGAGGGGAAGGGGGCGTGTGCAGCATGAGTAGAGCGCAGAAAAGGGAAGCGCAGTGGATGCTGGGAGCCAGGGCTGGGGCGCCGGATGGCCTCACCTGTCTGGGTGGGTTGGAAGTGGCCGTGCACCGCGTAGGGCTGGGGCTGCGGCTGAGATAGGTACTGCACTGCTGGGAACGCCGAAGGCGCTGAGGGAGGCAGGGGTACAGGCAGTCGGGCCTCCTTCCCACGGCTGGGGGAGCCGGCTCCTCCCTCTCTTCCTACTACTCACCTCTGAGCTGCTGACTGGGGCTGTAGGCCGGCTGTGTGGGTCCGTAGTGCGGTGGGGCCTGAGCGGTCCCATAGGCCCCACCAGGGCTGCCCTGGAACTGACCGTGCTCTGGGGTCCCCGCGAAAGCTGCTGCCGAGCCCACGTAGTGCCGGGTCTGCGGAGGGAGGAGGAGCACTGACTGCTGCGGGAAACTGCCCCAGAGCAGCGCCCCGAGCACCCTGCGTGTGCCCTGCATCCGCTGTGTGGTAAAGCGCCACACAACGCCACGACTGGGACGCAAGTTGCACGAAGGCGCCTGGGTCTGTGTGCAAGTAGCCGGGAAACCAGTGCGCACCACACCCAGTCCTCCTTACTGTCAGCACTTGGGGTCCGAACATCTGTTTGGCCCTGTCGGCTGCCATGAGGGTGCCCGGGCGGCTGTGTCCTCCAGGGCTCCCTAGACAGGGAGAGGGGCTTCGTGAGGCTGAAGTGGGTGGCTGCAACCCCCAGGAGGGCGTGTTCTAACACAGGGGTCTTCATTTCTCACCCTGCATGCTGAGGAGGTGTGTGCCTGTGTGAACCGTCAGGCTCTGCGGGTACGCGGCTGACGTCAGAGTGGTCAGGTCGCTGCGATGAAAGGCGGGCAGGTCAAAATCAAGGACAAGGACAAGTGCCCCCTCTTCTGCCATTAGACACGGATCTGGTGTTACCCGATCCTAGTTACACTCTGCTCTGATTTTATTTTTAGCTCTCCAGTCCCACCTCTGCTCCTTTCGCCTCCGTTTCTCCTCCTCGTGTAAAACTTTCTTGAGCTGCAGGAAAAGCTGGTGCTTCTCTTCCTGTAGGGCCAACAGCTTCTCCTGCAACTTCAGGATCTGCGGAGGGAGGGGAGAGGGGCTGGAGACAGGAGGACCAAAGGAGGAAAGAGCTGGGACAGATCGAGGGGTCGCTTACTTGTTCCTTGGTCTCCTCTAGTGACATTCGTTCCTCCATCTCCTTCTTCTTCCTCCTCTCCTGCTCTTCCTTCATCTTCTGTTCCATCATCTTGTCCACTTCTTCCTCCTCTGGAGAAGAGGCAGAACGGGAGGACGGCAGGGTGGTTAGAGTACCGGAATGTCAGAGACCGAGCTCCTGCAAACCCGGTTATCACAGTGCCCCCTCTGCCCCCTAGGCAATGGCTCCTTCCGTCGGGAGGGGACGGGGAGGGAGGCTTTGTTCGGTGCTCTCCAAGGTCCTTCCCGACCCAAGGGTTCTGGACCTCAGACCCGGCCTCCAGCTCCCACCACCCGAGGGGCCGTCCCGTCCCATCTCTCCTCCGCGCGGCCCCGGCGCGCTGCTCCGCCCGTGGTGGGGGCCGGCCCCGGCGGAGCGCTGCCGCCCTGGGCCGTGTGTCCTCCCGCTCGGGCCCGGCTCACCCTGCCGCTTGCGCTCCCGCTCCATCATGATGTGCCGGTGCAACGCCCGGGCCATGGCGTTGGAAAGCTTGGGGCGCTCCAGGAGCGCCGGCATGGTGCTGCCGGGGGCGCTCGGGCCGTGGGCGCCCGGCTCTGTCACGGACTGCCAGACCTCCGACCGGACCTGCCGGGACGCGGGTGCTCAGGAGGGTCGCGCCGGGCGAGCGGAGGCGGAAGCCCGCCGCCGCCGCCGCCCCGGGGGATCACGCGCCCGGCGCCCGCTCTCCTCTCCCCCGGCCGACGCCGGGTGTCCCGCGTGCGCCGGCAGGCAGGGGTCTCTGGCCTCGGCGCTACCCGCCCCCCGCCCCGCCGGCCTCTCCCTACCCGCCTTCGCTGCGCTTTCCCCGCGGCTCCTGCGCGCTTGGGCCGCGCGTCACTTCCGGCCGCCGGGCCGACTCTTTCCGGAGCAGGGGCGGCCGGCGGCCTCGCGGCTCTGGCGCAGGGAAGGGCGGAAGTGGCCGCGACGGGTGCCGGGGGCGGCCAAACCCCGTCGGCGCGTCCGGCGCCCCCAGCTGGGTGGACCCGGGTCTCGGCGGGGGGGGGGGGGGGGGGGGGGGGGGGGGAGAGAGGGGCGGGGGCGCGCGCTCCGGGACGGCGTTTATTGGCTCCGTGGAACCCCGCGTCCGTAACAACTGTACAGAGGCCCACCTTCCCCGCGCCCGCCCTCCCCTCTCCGCCCGGCGGCCCGGGAAGCGGCGGCTCCGGGGCGGGGCGCGGGGTCTGGTGGCGGGGGGCTCCTCGGGATTCACAGTAACAGGAACGAAAACGGAAATAAATTAAGTGACACGGGGGAGGGAGTCCAGGGAGTCGTGTTCCCCAAGTCAGTGCATGAGGGGCGCTGCCGGCCCCGAGCCCCGCGGGGGGCGTGCGCCCTGCACGCGGAGACGCGCTCCCCTTCCAGCGCGCGGCGGGCGGGCTCCGGGCGCGTCCGCCAGGGCGGGGTGCGGAGTCGGGCCGGCGGCACTCGGAGTCCGCGGGCCGGGGCCCCACTGTGCTTGTCGTCGAGAGGCCGGCCCTCACTCCACCCGCACCAGCAGGGCATACAGGAGCGTGGCCCCCTTCTCCTTGGTCACCCACTCGAGTTCGGCGGGGCTGAAGTGCGGGTCGGGAGGTTCTCGGAGGGCGGCCGAAGGGGGCCCGGGGGTGTAGGAGCCGGGGCGCACGCACACCTGGAACGCCACCTGGGCCTGGTGTGTCCGCTGGGACTTGGGGTCCCGGAATCTGTCGTGCAAGGAGCAGAAAGCCGGCCGTGAGGAACTTGGGCTTCCTCCTCCCCCTGCGACCTGCACGGCGGCTCCGTGCCTCGGGGTCACGCCCGCCGTCTCCCCACCCGCCCGCTGGCCCCCTTCTCCAGGCCTCTGCTCAAAGCTTCTTTCGGAGGTGGCCCTGACCGTGCTCCAACCGCTTGGGGGGCCCACTGTGCTCCACTCTGTTTTACTCCCGTAGTGCTAGTCACCTTCAAAGCTAACCGTTCTAGAGTGTCCCGGTGGGAAGGCGGAGGGCAAGCTGTGGAGACCCCGCCCCCCTGTACTCACTGCACTTTGGATGCCAGGGTCTCGGCCCCAGCATACTGGAGGGAGGGGGAGAGCAGCACCGGAGGGGGCTGCTCCTCCCGCGGGGGCGCGCAGTTCTCCCCAGGCTCCTCAAACCCTACCCCGGGCTCGCCTTTCAAGGGCCGGCAGCTCAGGATGGAGGCGGTGCCTGTGGGGGAGCCAGGTCAGGAACATGCCTGGGGACCCGGGCCCCACCCGCCCTGCCTCTGCTGGTCCCGGGGTACCTGCTCCCAGCTCCCCTCGGTCCAGCACCCTCCGGACCGCTGCCACGTTGCTCCCGTGATACGCCATGTGCCACTTCTTGGTCAGCGTCCCAGCTTCCAGGCGTGGATTCACCCTAGGACGGACCCAGGGGACACTGGACACAAGCAGTTGGCTCACGGACACCATCCTCTGTCCCACGGGAGCCTCCCTCGTCACCGGGGGAATGAGTGCTAAGGGAGACACGCAACCCTGGCCCGAGAGTACCTGAGGTTGAACCTGCACCAGCCGAAGGGCAGTGCGTACTCCCGGGGGGGGCTCCCCACGGCGCCTGTGGGCCTCGTCCCCTCGAAGCTTCCGGCAAGACTCACAGTAGCACAGGCTCCGTTTCGGAGGAGGGATGAAATAATCCTCTGCGGGAAAGCGAGAGGCAGTCGGCTGCGGCTCCCGCCCAGGGTCTCCAGCACATAGCATCCCCTCCTCTCCTGTGGTCCCTCCGGCTCCCAGCATGGCCCCGCCCTGGCAGCAGGGAGTGCTGCGGGTTCTGGGGGACCGGGGACTCACCAGGAAGCAATAGCAGTTCTTGGAAGCGGGAGCAGAGGGCGTGGTACTCGCAGCTCTTCAGAGGGCCAGTGGTGGGCAGAGGGCCCCAGCACACACTCTCCTTGATGCCTGAGAGGGCGGAAGGCGGCAGGGTCGCAGGGACAGCAGGGGCAGCGGGGCCGCGCGGGTGGGGATCTGGGGGCTGCCTCACCGTCCACCATGTCCGCCTTCTCCATGTCTCCCTGGGTGCCAGCACTCTTCCCACTGGTAGTTCCCGGCTCGGGACTCACGATTGTCACCTGCAGGGGAGGCGTGATGAGGGAGACCCACCCCCGCGCGCCCGGCACTGCCTCTACCCCGCCGGCAGCCTGCTCACCTGCTCGCACTGCCCGTAGAGGTCCACGAGGGCGTGGCAGGGCTGGGGCACATCTGGCACAGCCACGCCCTGGTCTATCCCGTTCACGTGCAGGTGCAGCCCTCCAGAGCCATCCAGCCGCAGGCCCAGGACGGTGCCCTCAGGACACGTGTCCAGATTGGGCCCAAATTTCTCACAGATCTGGGGGTGGGGAGACCTACTGTCTTCCCAGAGCTCAGACCACAGGCAGCGGCCACCCCTGGGCTCTGCTCCACTTCCGGCTGCCGGTGCCTGGGCCTTGCCTCCACGCTCGCCCCCTGCCCAGGCTCTACCCGCCACCCGCTGGCCCCCCACAGCCACACTCCCAACGGCAAGGATGTAGGCGGCCCTGACAAGCCTGAGTCTAGATGATGACATGCTCTTGCTTACCCACTAGAGGGTTTCCCCACACAGCACCCCCGATAGCTGTGACCCCCCCACCAGGGACCTCCCGCCACCCCCCAGCCACCTTGAGACCGTTGTGGAAGATGCCGCGACCTCGCAGCAGCCAGGCCGCCCGCTTGAGGCCACAGGCTGATGCGGGGAAGTTGAGCCTCTCTGGCGGGCACGTGATGACGCCCAGGACCAGCGAAGATGTCCACTGTCGGTTCAGGGAGTCTATCCGCACCTGGGGGACAAGGCGACTACTACTCCCCAGTCACGGCCCCCTGCGAAGAAGCCACCCAGCGGCCCCGGGCTCTCCATCCAGGGCAGGGAGGGGTGCTGCCCCTTCTGAGGCCGGAGGAACTGCGAACTGCAGATTCACTGGTTTCCTTCCCTGTGTCAGCCTTGGTGCTGTTGCCTGGGCAAGGGTGCCTGTCCCCAGGGGCTGCCTTCAGCAGGCTAACTAAAATCTTTTCATCTGTAGCAGAAAGGCCCCCTCCTCGGGCAAAGCCCTCCCAGCATGCATGTGCAGGGCCGCACATCTTTCTCGGGACTCCCCCAGTCCCTCGCTACTGCTCCCCTCACCAGTCACAGGGAGGGGGACTTCCTGAGAATGGCTCTACAGATCCCACCGCGGGGTACGGACCAAAGCCCCGGAAGCTCCTCCAGGGGGCTTGCCTCCACTCTGTCCTCAAATGGGGGGTGGTTTCTCCAGGAGGGCTGGTCCCCGGGACCCTGGGCAAGAGGAACCCACCTGGACCAATAGCTGGGGCACCAGGGGCTGGCCGATGACGACGACGCCTTGGTTGTAGCTGGCCACCCGTGTGGCCGTGCGGTTCCCGTTGGACAGGAGGATGTTCTTCCCGTGGTTTTCCAGGAACTCGAGGGCCATGGGCATAACGGCCACTTGATTCTGGTCCTGGTGCAGAGGAGAGACAGCGCTGCCAGGGCCACCCATGCCAGGCCCAAGCTAACCCCTCCCAGGCATTTACACGGGGCTGGTGTCAATGCCTCTGCCCACCGGGATGGAATCAGAGAACCCCAGAGCACCCTGGTGTCCCCCAGCCCCGTTCGCCCGCCGCGGTCTCTCACCCGCAGGCCATGCTCCTCCCTGTCGCCGTCCTCCTCGCCCTCGCTGCCAGTGTCCGAACTGGGAGAAGGCGGCTGGGTGCCCTCTGGCTCCTCCAGCCGTGTAGAGCTCACGACAGACACGCTCCGTACCGGCCCGTAAAGATCCAGCACGGCCCACACGTTCTGGGGGCACGCACATGACACGGGAGTCAGACCCCCGTGGGGGGCCTCAAGCCCGCTCCGCAAACCCAAGGAACAGCTCGGCCTGACCTTGGCGATGCCAGCGGCCGCAGGCCCCATGTCCTCTCCGTCCACCAGGATGTGCATAGTGTCGTCGGCGCCCCGACGGATGCCCACGCGGCTCCCCACCTGGGACCCAGAGTGGATGAGCCTCGGCCCACAGTCCCCCGACACCCCCGCCCCCGCCCGGGAGACGGCTGCCTCACCCCCAGCCTCTCGAGGTTCCGGCCATAGTTCATCCTCTGGAGCTGCCCGTCGCGCCTCACTTCACAGCTGGTCACCATCCAGGTGGTCTTTGACCGCAGCTCAGGCAGAGAGGGAGGCAGCCCCGGGCCGCCGGCTGCGCCAGGCCCCATCTCCCCTGGCGCTAGTGTGGTCAGCCCCAGGCGGAGGGAGCCCGCCCACTTCTCGTCCAGCTCCTCCACCTTCACCTGACGGACAGAGAGCACGGAGCTGCCACAGGCACGGGGACGGGTAGCAGCAGCCTGGCCCCATGGCAGCGAGCCCGCCGCCCACCTCGAAGACCTCCTCCGTCTTGAGCTCCTTGGTGCTGAAGACGAGGCCGTGAGCGTAGCCGGCCGCGCGCACCGCCCTTGTGCCGTCCTCCTCCAGAGTGACGTTCTTGCCGCAAGAGCTGTGGAAGCGGTGAGTCACGCCGGCCACTGTGGAGAGACGGGACCCCCGGAAAGGGCAGCATGGGGGCCGCAGGCTCCGAAAAGGACAGGGCGCAGAGCTTTCAGGTGAAACAGGAAGTTGCCCTAAAGGCCCCCTTGGCCGTTGCTTCTTGAACGCCTCTCCCGGCAGGGAGACCCATTTCCAAAGCAGACGGGCCCCATTGTTGGGCAGGGAGTGAACGGGGTGCCCAGTCCACGCTCCAGCCGGAACCCCCTCCCACCTTCCTGGGGGCGTCCCACCCTGGCTCCCTCCCTCCCTGCCCTTGTTTCCTGC